CAGCTGTGTCGGAATGACGATACGTTCGTCGATGAGCAGACAGTCCTCGCGCAGATGTAGTCGGTTTCGTACATTGTACCAGTACTGGTCATATGATGACATGATTGAGTGCCAGTCCCGCGTTTTGACAAAATTGATGAGTGGTCTTAGATTTCAAGTTTTCTGGTAGCTGCGGCGATGAGTTTTATTCCCAGGATCTTCTAGTTTTTTTACGAAACAGCGGTGTGTCTTCCTCTGCTTCTGTCATCGTTGCTTGTTACTGTGGCCACTATCCCCTCAGTTATGATATGATGGCTTGTCTCTTCTAGTTGCGTGTTGGTCATTGTGGGCGGTTCCTCGTTTGGGGCACATTCCTCATGGCTGGCAATGTTGTGATTGATCCTGCTCACGCATTGTTCCGATATCTCTGTCTGATGTTGTGTCCCTGTCTTATCAGTTTGTGTTTCTGCAAACGCTTTGTAGTCCTCGGACTGCACTGCTAGTGTCGTTCTTACTTTTCTATTTTTGTCGTTTCTTCGTTGAATATTATCTTTGGAAAATTCTTTACTGGTGGCTCTCTTGCGTCCTTGACAGTATTTTTCGGTGATGAAGTAGTCGTGGTGGCTGTTTGTTTTGTTTCCTGGCGGTAGATGGTCGTTTGTGCCACCGAGGGTCCGACAAACTCTCCTCTCTGTCAGAAGTCCCCTGCCAGCTTGACGATTTTTCCTCCTTTCTTCGACGCGGTTTAAATGTTTTGACTTCGTCTGGAATAGATCCGCCTTTAAAATGGTTTACGTCGTGTCTTGGACTCATTTTCTGTGTTGCGTTTATTTGATTGAAAAAGTAGTTTTAATTTTCCGACGTTAAAACTTTTTACTGAAAGTGTGTTTTTAATGCTGATTGTTTTACGAGTTTCAGATTGATTCGAGCAGAACTGATTTTGTTTCAGTGTTTGCGATTGACCGCTTCCCGAATTTTTGAAATGTTGTTCTCTCAATTGAGGGTTTGAAGTACTAATTGCTATCTTTTTATTTTCCGCGCGCTTTTTGATCAGCTGACACGGTGCCGTTTTCCCATTGGCTAAACTATTGAAGCTGACGTTGTCGATCATTTGTAGATTGTTTATAAATGCATTAATTGATGCTACAGCAAATTTCTCATGGTACTCGCTTGTGAGTATTGCCAATCTAACTGGATTTCGTGACATATATTCTATTAGCCCCATTTTGTTACCCGCCAAATGTTTGATATCAAAATGGATTGGGATTAATCGGTCAATCCACCGAGTTAGTCTGCTTTGGCTGGTTTTTGATCTTTCACTTGCGTTTAAAGCGTTGATCAAAGCTTGATGATCTGTGATGACGGTGAATTGTTTCCATAAAGATAAAATTTGAAATGTAATGGCCCAAACTACCCCGAGTAATTCTAGCTCATTAACTGAATGTTTTTCCTCAAGGGAATTTAGAAACCGTGATGCATAAGCTATCGCCACCCAGCCTTCTTGTGAATGTTGTTCGAGTGACGCCCCTAAATCTGAAGTGGAAGAAGCATCACATACTATACGTGTTTCTAGGCTTTGGTCAAATTTTTTGTTGTGTTATTTCAGAGACGAACTTTATGACGTTTTTAAATGTTGTATTGTGTTCTGGTTTCCCATTAATTGGCTAATTTGTTTTCTGTATTTTTTAAAAGTGGACGTAATGCTGCTGCTATTTGCTAAATTCGGAGTGTACCTGGTGAGGTGGTGTATGGAGCCCATAAAGCTTTTTAATTGTTTAAAAGTTTTTGGTGGTTATTATTTTCAATCGCATCTGTTTTTCTTATTAATGTTTTAGTGCCGTCGCTGTTTGTGGTGTACCCCAACCACTCAACTTGTCTACACGCAAACCTACATTTGTCCAGTGATATGGCAAGATTTTCCGCATCTAGTTTTCCCAGAATTGTTTGAAGTTTTTGTTTGTGTATATCGATTGATCCTTTCGTTACGATCAGTATGTCATCTAAGTATGCAGAGGTGTTTGAGCAATTGGTAAGGGTTAGGTCGATAGTTTTTAAAGTTCAGTAGGCCGTAAAATTCTGTTGGAAATTGGTAAGTCCCGGTGGCATTGCCACCAATTAAATTGAAATTACCTTGTTCTCGTTGACTTGTCCAACGGGATTTGTAAATATGCGTATCGCAGATCTAGTGTTGAGAATAGGTTCTACTGTTTGTTGTTCGATTTCAACACTTAAGTTTTGTGTCTAACAGCAAATCAATATTGGCCATTTGATATTTATTTTTGTGAATAAATTTGTTTATCTTTTTCTGTCTAATGTCAATTTGACCGTCTGTCCTTTTTTTACGATAATCACGATTGGACTGATAAATTGTCGATCCGAGCATTTGTCCGATTTTATTATGTGTTTTTGGTCGATGAGTTTGTTGAGTTCCTTCTCAACCCGTTCTTGTAGATGAACCGTGACACGGCGTCCTTTTTGCTGAATCGGTCTAATGTCTTTGCTAAATTGCGTCCGCGTCACTTGTTTTTTTGACTTTCCAATACGAACGAATAACTGTGGAAAGTTGTCTTTAACCCATTTTTTGATTTCAGGGTTTGATTCTTGTTCGCTTATATTCAGCACATCCCCTCGTTTTCGTTTTTCTTGGACTATTTTTGTTCCAATCTGTGGTAAAAATATTCCTGCCTATGATGTTTGCTTTTTGGTCATCATCAATGATGAACGGGGCGGCTTGTATTTTCCAGCCTCCTGATTTGGTCGTTAGAATTAATCTTCCTTTGGGAATTTTTGTTTCGCCGTTGTAACATGCCCAATTCCGAGCAGTGTCTCCCGGTGGGATTTATTTAAATAATGTTGACTTGTCCTTTTCCTGTAGTCGCCGAGCAGTTTTTTCGTTTGGGAACGACATTGTGCTACCGAAGTCGGCGGTTGCGAATTTCCAGTTATCTCGATTTCATAGATAGGTTCTGTGGGCTTGACTTACGGTGGTTTGTTTCTTAGTAGATTTCTTACTTCAATCCTGTCCTTCGCAAATACTGCCATTTCGAATATTGCTGATCATTTCGACCACTCCAGTGGTTGTTCGGCTGAGGCTTTCTCGCAAAATCGGCTGATATTGCGCGGGTTTTTTGAAAATCCTGCTGACTGCGCCATGTCATTCTTCTAGGTATGGACGTGAGTATATCAAATCCGAACGGATTGGTAAACGTTATCTTTGATGCGAGCTCGATAAAACAATTGTTTATACGAAACATAAATTAGTGTCTGAGCTATTGCTCATTTTCTCACTTCGGCGTACAGCCGTACAAGGTCAACTGACCAAACAATATATAATTACGTTAACCAAACAAACATGCATCAGTGATGCTGAGTTTATATATCCGTACCGGATGACCCTTCATAATCAACCTTCTAAAACCACTCGTTAGACCAATAAACTGACCTTTGTGAGGTGTCGGGGGGGGGGGGGGGGGGTTGGGTAGAAGAGCCAAAACTGAACTTCAGAAATATAAGTCGGCAAAAAAAACGAGCACAAAAACATTCGTGTGGCATGTTCGCAGCGGAGCAAGCGGTCACGAATCGCCAATGCCGTGTTTGAAATTAGCGTTCTGACTTGCTAATTGTTCTGAGTCTGCTAAAAGATTGGCATGCTAGAAAACCGGGTTCTTTTTCCTTTTACCCCCCACCTCACACGAGGTTCAAAATATTAGTGTAACGAGTGGTTTTACGAGGTTGAGTATGAAAACCAAATATGTTTGTCGTGGCCTTGTCAGTCTGTATGAATGTTTTCACAACAATCGGACAATGTGGTCAACAAATTTACGTGTAAAAATTTGCAGGTGGGGGGAAAAGGAAAAAGAGCCGAAAACCGGTCTGCTAAAATTCCGGTTCACTGTCTAGGTTAGACCCATCTCATTGCAATGTCATTCACCTTGTAAACAAATTTGGGCTCTTTTTCCTCCCCCCCCCCTTACCTCACACAAACATGAAATTTATGGTCTAACGAGTGGTTTTACAAAGTTAATTATGAAGACCAAATATTTTTGTTATGGCCTAATCAGCCTGCATGTCAATTTTCATGACAATCGGACAAAGTGAACAGTAATTTCAATTTGAAAAATTTGCGGGCGGGGGAAAAAGGAAAAAGAGCCCAAATTTGTTCGCCATTCTTTACTTCGTAACATCATGCGTTTAGCTACAGGAACACGTAAAGCAACTAAGAAAGTAGGATTTTTGAAATGTGGGCGGGAGGGGTTTAGAAAAGAGCCAAATTTGCAGCTTTGTGAGGGGAAGGGCAATAGTCTAACCCCGCAATAAGTGTTGCTTTTGACGCCCATTTTTCTAGTAACTGTGTTTGTTAACTCTACTTGGAATTGGAAAAACTAATGTTCCTAGTCGGTGAGTGTAAAATAGCACGTGGTTGTGATTTTTCCACTCTCACTGTTGAAGACTTGGAAGTCACCTGACTAAGCTGAAGTCATCTGCAGAAGTGATCAACAGTCAAACTAAACAGTTGTTTATTGGACAGTTACAGTCAAGCTTGTTCAAATTCAGAGAATAGTTTTGTCAATTTCTCATTTTATTCTAATTACATCAGACTGGCTATAGCATCCAGTTACTTGCTACTCCTTATTATTTTGCCGGTACCCTGCTACTTATAATTGGGTATTGGCAGAGTTTTGAGACCGGGCTTCACTCATCTGTAATTTGGAGGTTTGGGTTTGGCGGGCAGTTTTTGTGAGGAAGTGGTTGAGATAAAAGGGGAGCAAGATAGCGCACGCTGCTTCGGGTGCGGCAGTGGGGGGCGTGAGGCGATGTGAGAAATGCAGTCTATACAAACTAGCCTGGCCCAAACTGCAGCTGTGCGTTCGCCGGGCGCTGGAACAGCAGCTCGCCCATCGTTCTCACCACCCTGTCGTAAGTCAACGCTCTCGCCCACATCCTTAGCAGCCATCCTCTTTCGCACTCATATCGAACGTGTTTTTGAAAAGTATCATCAGTTTATTTTGTGTTTGTATTAGATGGCGGCGGCGGCGGCGGCTGTTGCTGTACACCCGGAGGGAAGTATTGTCTCCAGTAGATCTGCATCTGGCACCGGCACTGGTTCGGTGGCTGTGTCCGGTGGGGGTTCTGCTGGGCCCTCTCTGGCGTCCTCTGCAGCGAACATTGACATTCTGGTGGCTAATGCAGACAGTGTGGAGATGGAGGAGCCGAGCAAACAGCTGCAGGAGAAGGTGGCCTTCGTCTTCAACAACATCTCACAGAGCAACGTGCCAGCTAAGGCTAGTCAAACTAACATTTATCATACATGTCTCTGTGAATAGTCGTCTAGAATACAAACACGTGTTTTGTCTCTCTCAAAGTGCGAGAGGCTCGTTTCCACTTCCTAATCGCTACAATGTTACAATTTGAAGCATTAAAATCAAATCTGTTCACAAAAATCAGTTTGTTTGCCTCCATTTCTTTTTATTAAATCATGACAACGTTAAAATAAATTATAACGCTAATTTAAATTATTCGGACAAAACGGACTTTTTTTGAATTATGGCATTGTTAAACAACAGTGCTGAATTAAATTATCCGGACAAAATGAATTGAACTTAGAATTCATTTTCTCAATTTGAACTGACCAAAAACAAAAAATGACAGCTATTTTATTTTTTTACCCACATTTTAGTTTTTCCAAATTTTAGTTGTCATTGTTATATCATGGCTGGGCTCTTTTCCAGTCCCCCCTTTCAAAATACCGAGTTTTATGTTTGTTTTACGTGTTATTACGGCTAATTGCGTGATGTTACGCTGTAAAGAACAAATCTGTTCAGAATTGTCGATTTGTTCACCACGCCAAATTTCATTGCATTATGACAACGTTAAATAGACTTTTCAGTTTTGAATTTGAAAGGGGGGGGGGACTGGAAAAGAGCCCATGGCTGAATGCTCGATTTTATGGTGTGATATATAAAGAACAACTGTATTCAAAATAGTTTGTTAGTTCACTATGCAAATTACACATGACTGAAGTTTGAATGTGGAGAGGAAAGCAATCAAACGAGGAAGACAAAAATTGCCGGCTCTTTTTCCCTCCAACCCCCCACCTCACATAAGTATCGACTTCATGGTGTAACGAGTGGTTTTACAAGGTTGAATATGAAGACCGAATGTTTATCATAACCTAATTAGTCCGTATGCCGAATTTGATAACAATCTGACAATGTGAACAGAAAAATTAATCTAAAAAATTTGCAGGTGGGGGAAAAGGAAAGAGAGCCAAATTGCTTACCCTTGCGATAAACAAGGGTATTACTATCGGTTACTAGAATTTTTCCCGTAAACAACTCTATCCACAAAATTTTCACTTCTTCAGGATCCTTCATCTTTCAAATTAATTTAAAAGTGCTATCATTTAAGTAGTAATTAGTTAAATCCTGTTTCAGTTGTAATTATCTTGGTATCTTGGCAAACAATTTCTTAATTTTTTTCCGGGTTTGTGGTTTTCGTCCTAGTTTCTTTCGGTTCATTTTCCGTTCTTTTAAACTCATTTTCCGTTTGAATTTCACAAAATTTTAAATTTACCATGTCTGATATTTGAGTTTTTTTGTTCTGTTTTAAATATTCAAACAGTTTCAGTTTATGTTATATCGACGTGGATATTTTTGCGTTTTCTCGAGGGCAAAAAATATCCGTTTGGGATTATGCTTTCAATTGGATGGGTCGCAAACACTAAATTTTTTGAATTTCTTATGACAACAGTTTTGTTTGATAATTTTCGTTGCGGTAAATTTTCAACTTTCATCTATTTATTTTTTCAATTAATTTTTTCCAACAGTTTTCAGAATTCTGTTTTTACTTGTCTTTTTTTTCATTCGCTTTATTGTACCGCAATGTGTGATTTGCAGTACAGAGTCTGAGCAGTGTTTATGGTGCAGTTTTTTTATGATGCAAAGTGTTTATGGTACAAGGAAGTATAGCCCCAGTAAGTAGTTTAGATAGAGCAGTCAAGCATGCGCAGTGAAATAGCATTTGCTTTGTTTATTTGTGTATAGTTTTCTCGTAAATCTTATGCTGCGTTTTTGTATGAATGCACTTGTGTATGAAATCACTTCGATTGTTTGGCTCTTCCTACTTCCACCCCCCCCCCCCCCCGCGTCACATAGAGCCAATTATATAGTGTAACGAGGGCCTTTAAGAGGTTACATATGACGACCAAACATGCTTGTAAATGTGCTGTTTTATGAACGAACCAAGAAGTGATTTTGATTTTTTGTATTCAACCAAAGTTTCGCTAAAATTATCCAGCCAAATGCTGATCAAATCTTTGCATAAATAAATGTACTTTCTTTTGATCATTAAAAAAGTCTTTTTACTAAATACCATTCAATTTTTTAGAGTATTGAACAAAGTGAAGACACTTATATGGTTCTTGCTGTTTTTTTTTCAGGAAAAAATCTTAAAGTGCTCTTATAATTAGATGTGCATTCATACTATTCCATTAATCTTTTCCAATATTCGATTGGCTATATATTTTAGATTTCCAATGGAAAAAAAAACTTACCTATTGATCCAGTTGGGTTAATTTTATCAAAAAAGGGCCAATCATAAATTGTTCTAGAAATTCAAAGAGCTTAAAGGGCATTTACTTTTCCTTTGAAATTTGAAATGTGAAATTTTTTCAAGAAAGTCAGTGATTTTTTTTTATTTGCATTCATTAGTCTTTTCCAATCTTCGATTGGCTGAGTTTTTTATTTAAAAACTATTTTCAAATATTTTGCAGTTTTACTTCATGAAAATGGTTTTGTAAATGAAATGACCATGTTAAAATTTTTATCCTGATGTAACTAGGAAATAAATACGTAAGAATTTGGTTTGCTCAATCACTATCCAGGCAGGAGACGTGAGCCGGTGCCATTATTTTGGCGGATTTTAGAATTTGGAAATAGTTAGTTTCTAAAATCTCCAGCTTTTTTGGGTTGCAGTTATGTGTCATCGGCATACTGGTATACATGAATTATGTAAAGTTTTTGGCATATAGATAAGATTAATATTTCAGTTAAAGGCCCTACAACGGTGACCTGAGGAAAACTTTGCTCCAGATTTAGGTTATCAAATTTTCAGGAGATCTGCAGTTGACTTAGTTTTGGTGTTCTTAGTTTTTGACAATAGAGTTACTTCAAAAAACCGAAAAGGACTTGTTTTTGGGCTCAAATTAGGCATAAACATTGTTTTGTATTCGTTTCGTTTAAATTCGAAAAATTCTTTTCTTCGTCATTTGTTGTTCAAATACAAGCTAACTTGATAAAAACGCGTTAAAAATTTTCATCGTTTTGTCCGGATTTTTACACTCGCGAAGCAAAGTGTATTAGTACGAACCTTCTTTTGTTTTTCCTACCGAAGTCGCAAATAAAAGTTCTCATTTTTGCATTTTTGTGACACTTTTGAATCTGTTGTTGATGTAGCAGTATAATGAAATATGTGCTTTGACACTTGATTAATAAAAAGTTAAAACAGTTGATGCATTTTTAATTCATAAATGAGCCGAATAGCAGTACAATGATAAAAAGCTCGATTTCGGAAATTTTACTATTCGATGTATCAAGTAATGTATGCTTCCATAGCTGAGTGGTTAGTGCGTGATACTCGAATTTGCTTGGTCGCAGATTCGAATCCTACACAGCCGAGTTTTTGCTAATTGGAGACTTATTTCAAATTTTTATTATTTCACTTGATAGAGCTGCTTTTTGGTCGTTTGTGGCAAATGTTTGCAAAGCTCAGCTTCACCTCTGTGTTTTAAAGTAGCGTTTAAGGTTTCAAAACCAAAATTCAAGTCTGGGAGAGTTAAAAAGCTGTGTAAGAGCACGATTGTAAGTGTCTATGTCAGTAATGGAGTGATGTGTATTAGGTTGAAGAGCTGCGTGGAGTTGTGACGAATGACAAATTCTACCCGTGGCTGTCGCGCTACCTCGTGGTCAGCAGGATAACGATGGAGACCAACTTCCACGCCCTCTACGCCTCCTTCCTTGACTGCTTCGACGTCAAATCTTTCTCCCAAATGGTCCTCACAGAGACCATCCGAAACATCAAGGTACAATTAACCTGTCCGTCAATTCACCTTATTCTCCTCTGAATTTCTACTGAAGGTAATTATTGGCCCACACACCAGAGAGAGTTTCAGAGCAAGTGAACACAGTGAGCAAATGTTAAACTAGAAAAGAGGAGACGATTGACTGTAGTTGAGGTTTCTTTAGGTGCTACTGACTTCGGAAAAGGTGGTCATGCACAATTTCTCTGACCGGGCGCTACTAAAGAACTTGGGCAAGTGGCTCGGAATTATCACCCTCGCTAAGGACAAACCCATTCTGCAGAGGAGTCTGGACCTGCGCAGTCTACTGCTGGAAGCGTTTGTCAGGGCCGGCAACGAGATGACGATTGTGATTCCATTTGTGGCTAAGGTGATGGAGAGTGCCGCCAAGAGTGTAGTGTTCCAGCCACCCAACCCATGGACCATGGCTATACTCAGCATCCTCTGTGAGATCCACAAGGACCCTTCTCTCAAACTTAACCTCAAATTCGAAGTCGAAATGCTCGGCAAGCTGCTCAACATCGATATAGCTGTAAGTTCTTTTTAAATTTAACTCATTTCTTTACCATGCAGTGTACAAATTTTTTCTGGCTAAGCGAACTACTATATTGATTCTACGATGATACCTGTAAGTGTCGGTTTTAAGAGTAACGAACATAGTGAATACTCTTATATAGGTCTTGGCGATTTTTTTTCAGGAAAAATTACTAAGATTTGTTTACGCTCAATTTTGATGTTTCGCGGTTTGACTTGTGATTTCTTTTCAAGGACAGTGCATTTGTATTCTTAAAGGAGGGCAAACTCCACTATCGAACAGCAAATTTGTAAAAGTCACGAAAAACGTGATCGACTTCTAGTTTCGAAATTTAAAATTTTTATCTTTTGATCGAGTTTTCTCAATTTGGGTTGATTTTATCAGAAAAACAAAAGTGTTTATCATAAATCTTATTGTAAATCAAAGGGATTTAGAGGCATATATTTTTTCTTTGAAATTCGAAACTATATTAAAAAAAAACTAGTCTGTTTTTTTTCTATTTCCTTGTGTTCCTTGGCAATGTTTGGTCTCAAATCGACTTAAACTGCACTCCTCATCGATCTTGTTTCTGCGTCTTGAGTTCTTGAAACCTTTCGGGCTGCCGTTTGGGTATGGTTTGTTGTTTTCTGTTATTTTTTAAAGAGTAATGAACGCAGTGAAGACTCTTGTATAGGTCTTGGTGATTTTGTTGTTTTTTTTTCAGGAAAAAGTCTAAAAATTGTTCTCGCTTAGTTTTGATTTTTTTGCGGCTTGATTTCTGATTTGATTTTAAGCTCAGTGCTTTTCCATTGTTAAAGTTAAGTCAAACTCCACTATCGAAAAGCTGAAGTGTAAAGGTCACGAAAAACGAGATCGACTTTCAGTTTCGAAAGTGGAATTTAATTATCAGATTTCCCAGTGAAATAAAATGTCTACGTTTTGATGCAGTTTGAAATTGGGTTAATTTCATGAAAAAAAATGTCAATAAATTATTCTAGAAATTCAATGAAGTTTAAAGTCGTCTATTTTATTCTTCAAATTTCGATGCTTTTTTTCACCTTATAGATCTGCCTGTTTGTGTTCTCGCTAGAGTTTGCTTCGCTTCTGTGACGATTTTTGTGAAGTTAACAGCAATCCTTCCAAGTATATATTTACTAAGTATTGCTGTTAACTAACTATTCAGGCAAAGGGCACTAGTTTTCGTTGGCGTTTTTCAAAATAGAGGTCGTGATGATTCTTTTCAAGTCTTACATTTTTTTTGCTCAAAATTGATTTTCGCGGTTTGACTTTAAAAAATGTCAACCATAAATTGTTCTTGAAGAGCTTTAAGGCCAAATATTTCTTAGTAAGATTCTCGAACAAATTTGTTCTGTTTCAATGCGCTTTTTGACTCCTTTCCAACTGCCCGTCGGTGATATTGTTAATGCTTTTTTTTCACGAAAAAGAAGGTAAACAAATAAATATCAGTATGACCGATTGGCATTTAGTTTTTGTCACAGCTCAAAAGTACTTTTTTTGTCATCAAACAGCTGAAATGTTAAGATCATGGATTTTTTATTTCAGACTTTCCAGCAGAATAATTACCTATCGGTCCTGTTTTCCTAAAGCGTATTAGTTTTATCAAAAAATTTTCAATCATGAATTTTTCTTCAAGAGCTTTAACCTCCAAATATTTCGTACTATGATTTTCGAAAAAGAAGTTTTTTTCAGAAACAGCCACTTTTTTCTTCTGTTTCTTTTTACTGATTAAGTCCTTACCAAATGCGCATCGGCTATAATAATTATTTTCTTTTCAAAAATTATCGGGTAACACAAAAATATCAGAATGGTTGATTGGTGTATCAAATGAAAATCTTTTCCTTCCTAGATCGGTCGGCATTATAATTCTTGTGAAAAATTTGTTCTGTGTTGAATAAATCGGGTTTGAATTCAATGCTTCTAGTCTAATTTTTAAGCCGTAAATACGTCTTTTGAAGCTGCATTTTGCTTTTCTTTGACTATAGAATTTTTTTTCAACATCGATTTTTTTGAGCTTTTTTCATTTCTCGAAGAAAATCATAGTAGAATATGACTTATTTAACTATAATGAATGCTTCTCTTTTGTTCCTTTCATCACACCACTCACAAATAAGACAACCGCTAAGATAAAAAATCACAGTAGTTTTTATTTTATGTGGTTGGAATTTTCTGTGGTACTTGCTTAGCAAACATCCACTCTTAGCATATCAATTTTGTCCGTTTGGCGCAGATTCATCTGCTTGGACGAAAGAGGTCCGTGGCGTTTTTGATAGTTTAGTTGAACTCCAGTTTGCTAAGAACAGGTATAATGAAAATGTTTTGGATTCGGTTTCTTGATTTTTATATTCGACGATTTGCACAAAAAGTTATGGCCCTCGGAAATATCAATTTTTTTTTACTTTGGTCTTTTATCGAAAATCACACTGTCAATTTCAGATTTTGAATCCAATCGAAAGAACAGGTTGAAGTTGAAGGAGGATTCTATGCATTAGCGGCTACGCCTAAATTTTCTTTGAGCATAAAGTTATGGCCCCCCTTAATTTCATTTTTTTTTTGTTTTCTGGGATTTTTTACACTTGCTAGCGTAGTGTTTTAGTACGAATTTTCTTTTCTCCAAACCAGTTGCAAATAAAAATGATTCTTTTGGTGGCTTTTTTGAATCAGTAGGCTGCTGTAGCAAAACACAAAACATTTTTTGTTATTTTGTCAGTTTTTGTAACTTTTTTGACTTGTCTTAAAAACTTATCTCCAAAACTGAGATTTTGGATTAAATACAAGTCCAGCTGTGGGAAGCTCCTCTGCATTAGCAATTTTATCAAGTTTTTCTCCACAAAAGTTATGGCCCTCATTCGAAAAAGTCTTGATTTCGATTTTTTCGAAAACTATTCTCCCAAATCTGAGAAATCATATTCATTCGAAAGAACGGGTTGTGGAAAGCTCTCCTGCTTGAGCGTCTACGTCCAAAAAATTTTACACAAAATAAAGGCCTTCGGAAAAGTCATTTTAAAAATTATTTGACCGTATTTTGAAAATTACTTTTCTCGAAAACTATCCTCCCAAATCAGATTTTGAGTTCAATCGTTTGAAGGGGTTGAGGGAATTTATCTTTCAAAAGCGGTTCAACTCAATTGTTTTAAACAAAATCTTATTGCTCTCGGAAAAGTTCGCTTACAATTTTTTGACCGCTATTTGATTCTTTTTGATTATCGAGGATGATGGGTTCAATCGAAGAAACGGGTTGCGAAATGTTCTCCAACATAAGCGGCTACCCACTGAGTTTTTGACATAAAAGTTATGGCCTGGAGAAAAGTTACATTTTGAACTGATCGTTTTCTGGAAAGTTTTGACAATTCTCTAAACTTACCATGCCAGTTCTCAAATTAATGGTTCAATCGAAAAAAAAAACAGATTATGGGAATCTTTGCGGCAAAAGTGGATTCGCGGTCATGGGTTAGATCACTTGAGATCTTTTTGGGAAATGTCCACTGTCTACTACACTGCCAAGTTTCATATTGAAGTCTATTGTAAGAACGGGTGATTGATATCTCACCTACATAAGCGGCTAAACTGAAATTTTAGTTGAGAAACAACAATGTTTTGGGAAGAGTCCAATTTTTGAAAATTTGAAAGTTACGTTTTTCATCCCGCTTCGATAAGAATTATTCTAATAATAAGAAACGACTGATTCTGTTTATTTGGTACAATAGCGATATCCAAGGTTGGGCTGAAAATGATCAGATCATTTGCACTTCAGATCTGTACACCGTTTGTGAAATTTAAAGATTTTAAAGGGCAGATGTTTTTTTTCTTTAAAACTCGGCTATTTCTAAAAACTAATAATGAATATGATGAATATGAAATAATAAGAATTTTTGCGGAGCTTTAAAAGGTTTCTTTTAATTTTTTTTTGTTCGATGATTCTTATTGGATCGCAACGAAATGAGTTTTAAACTTTTAGTTATCCAATTGTATCAATTTCTAAGGCTGCAAATTACTGGATTGTGTGCTTCAAAAACAGGAAGTGCAGAAAAACCGGCCATGTCATCTGAACAAGACAGAGACGATGGTCAAGATTGTTCCGCAGCTGGCACCCCGAATGCCATGTGGTGCTCTGTCGGCCGAGTCGGCGGGGGTTTCTGGCTCATCAGAGGTGGTGCAGTTGGGTGGCAGCAGTGAATTACAGCTGAACTCCAGAGCCATCGCACACTTCACTGCTCTGCAGCAGCAGCAACAACAGCAGCAACATAGACATCATCAACAGCAACACAGTGCCGCACTAGCAGCAGCCGCCGCAGTCCAGAGTGCCTCCGGGTCTGCAGCACAACTGGGTGCACAACAACAACAACATCAGCAGCAGCAACAGGTGTTGGTGATGAAGCAGCCACAGTACGCGTACCAGGAGATCAACCACCAGAGTGTCCAGTCTGGGCTGACTGGGAAGATCCGGGACAACTACTCCAACTCCCTCTTCCACCAACACCCCACCCTCAGACACCTCATCAAGCCCAACATAGAGAAGACGGTGCAGGAGCTACTCACCCCACTCATCGACAGGTGCACTAACACCCACCTCACCCTCTCCCTCAGTTTTTTTTTCAGGAATTTGATTTTTCGCGGTTTGATTCGTAAGTTCAGTTCATTTCATTTTTTCAAAAGAAGGCAAACTCCACTATCGGACAGCTAAAGTTTAAAGGTCACAAAAAACGTAATCTACTTCTAATTTCGAAAGCCCTTAGAAGTCATGAAAAACAGGTATAATGGAAACGTACGGAATTGGATTTTATTGTCCAGACTTGACGGTGGAATTTAAAATTTACCTTTTGATCCAGTTTCCTCAAATTTGGTTATTTTTTATCACCAATCATAAGTTGTTCTTGAATGTCAAAGAGCTTTAAGGGCATTTAATTTTCAATGTAATTTTCGAAGTTGAAGTTTTTCAACTAACAACAGTTTTTTTTCTGAATCTTTGCGTTCATTAATCTTTTCCAACCGTGTGTTGACAAAAACAATCGTGGTCATTACACGAGCGTAGCATAGTGTGATAGCACGATGCAACTTAATTTTTTTTACCCGAAGTCGCAAATAATAGTGCAACTTTTGGTGGCACTTTTGAATCGGTAGACCGTGTTAGCAGTTTATTTCTCAGAAGTGCTTTGACTTCTGATTAGTAATAAGCTAACTCAGTTAATGCTTTTTTAATTCATCAATTGAACCGAAAAAAAGCTGTTTGTTTCTTACAACAGTACAATAGTTCAAATCCCATTTCAGAAAGTTTTCAACGTTAATGTGGTTGCCTTTATTTTATTACATTCCAAATTATTAAATGCAAAATTTGAGTTTTGTGGGTTTTAAAGCTCCTTAATTTTGACGCTTTCTCGCATGTGTCTGCAAAACTGCAGCTTCACCTCTGTGTTAATTTTTGTTTCGCAAGTGATGCGAACCTTAGTTTCAAGCAACCATCCAGCACCAGGGCTTTTGTTTCGAATCCGGCCGGGACTTGATTTTAGCCAGCTTGAAACTTTATACTTTCCGGACTATCGTTCGTCTGTTCATTTTTTTCTGCCCAGTTCCCGTTGCTCGGAATTTTTGCGAATTTTTAGTTTCCTTTTTTCTGTTGTGTTTTAATGCAAACTTCAGTTTCAATGATCTTCTTTGGGCTGCATTTTTTTTTAAATAAGAGCTTTATTCAAGACAAAGTGACACCAAGCTATGAAAATTTTGATAGCTTTAGGAAAGCAAGCTCTATCAAAATTTTCAGGTTGTTTAAAACTTAGTAGCTTCCTTCTCAATTTCGGGCTGTCAATTTCGGAATGCTATGTTTGTGTTGTATCATATGTCTAGTCTTTTTGTACAAATTCCCTTGACGTTTTTTCCGCTGGCTTACATACTCTGCTCATCGAATGGATTATACTTTGATCGGTATATAGACACCCAAATATTTCAAGTGGAACAAATTTATCATAAGCCCTGTTGTCAGCCATGTTCCTATCAAATCAGATTCAAAGTGAGCAGCGAGCAGAGTGATATGTCAGATTGGGGTTGTAATTGAGTGTATGGTTGTGTTGATGTAGGAGTGTGCGGATTGCGGTGATCACGTGTGAGCAGATGATTAAGAAGGACTTCGCTCTGGACCCGGAGGAGATGCGGATGAAGACGAGTGCATTCAATATCACCCGACACCTCACAGCCACCATGACCCTGATCACGTGCAAAGAGCCCCTGCTGATCGCATGCACGAACAGCCTCAAGAACGCATTCCTCCAACAGCTCAGGGTAGGCTACGCCACACATTCATCCAAACAGTTGAGCCAGTTGATATGTAATTTTTAATTATGTCTTTGTTTCCTCTTGGTAGAATGCGAGCATTGCAGCGGAGTTGGTGCAGAGCATTGCACATGGGATAGCGAATGACAATCTGGAGTTGTGTGTGGCTTTCACGCAGAAGAGTGCGATTGAGAAGGCACTGGTGGAGATAGAGAAGAAGCTGTCCACTGAGTTCGATCTGCGCAGACACGCGAGGAACGAGAACAGACGCTACTGTGACCCCAAAGTGCTCACCTACCAGGCAGAGCGCATGCCAGAGCAGCTGAGGATGAAGGTGGGCACAGTCACGCCCAAGCAGCTGGTCGTGTACGAGGAGTTTGGAAGAGAGATTCCCGGATTCGCCAACAGACCACCAGTCCACACTGGAACAGCACCCACTGAAGACCCACGGGCATCCCAGGTAGAAAATATTAGACAGGCACATCAGTCACATGCGAGTGTTACGCAAGCGACCTTGCAACCACTGTGTTATACTGTTAGTCCAGTTTTTTGAAAACAACTCGCTAAAAATAGTGCACATTTCGGTTTCCTTTTTGCAGCCAGTATTTTCAGTTTAGTAGCCTGCCTTCTCCGATTTATCAGTCACTAGTGTATGGGTTCCTTAATATTCAGCAGCACTGCTGTGTAGGGCAGTCGAATTGGTTGCTCCAGCCCCCCTTTTTTGGTTCGATTCCCCCTTTTTTTCAAGACTCATTAATATTTTTATTTTCATGCCCTTTCTCTCTTTTTTAACATCTTAAAGGCTACTTCTTTGTGTTTTGACGCTAGTATTTGCTAAGTACAGCTTCGCGTCTGTGTTAGAAATAGTACTGAGCAAATAATTTTCAAGGCAGATAGTATTACCTCTTAATTTTCTGCTTAGCTGGGTGCAATTAGTCACCACGCGACAGCTGCATTGGGTGCAGTTGGAGGAGCAGGAGCAGGAGGGGGAGCAGCCTCAAGCGATGATTTGGGCTACATGTATAGCAAAATGGTGAGCGAACTGGAGCAGCATTTGAAGGCGTGCCAGCAACACTCTGCATCCAGACTGTTTGGCGCCATGCAGACTCTACTGGAAAACGTGGCAGTGGCCAGAAACTCGCGTGAAATATTGGCCGCCATCTCTCTTCTTTCGAAGGCTAGACACCATCTTCATGCAGATCACTATGTACACACCATCAACATGTTCATGTTTTATAAGTGTTGAGTGTATTGTGTTTAGACTGTGGACAGTCTGCTGCAAGGACTGTTGAACCCGCCCGACCCCCAGGAGATGGTGATGCGGTTCCGAGACTGTCATCTGCTCGTGTTGAAGGCACTACAGGACCCCAGGGCGTACGGGGCCATGTGGACTAACAAGAATGTGACAAAGGCTCTGATTGAGAGCAGGGAGCCAAACAAGTACTGTGTGGACGGCATCGACTGTTTGATCAAGACGAGACTGGTCAACATGCAGCAGTTCGACATGTACCTCACGGCCGCCATGGAGAACGGCTTCAACTACACCGTGGTCTCATTCGCCATGAAACTAGTGTACAAATATCTGTTCGATGAGGCCACCACCAACGCACTCCTCGAGGCCAAATATGTAAGAGAGGGAAAAGACGCCCTTTAGTATTTTTTCCAATGGTTGGACTTATGTGTGTTCTAGGCTGACCTTTACGGCACGATAGAGATGTTGATCCGGATCGGAAAGGGATCCCGCAGTCCCCCCGAAGAGCTGAGTCGGCTGATCGAGATGATTGGGGCGAGTGTGGACAACAGTGTGATCGACAGACAGCCCGGAGGACCCATCGGGATGATGCACTCTGGCATCTCTCAGGCCAGGGAGTTCGACGACCCACCTGGGCTGAAGGAGAAGACTGATCAGTTGCTGAGGGAATGGGTGACCATGTACCACTCGCAGAACAGTGGCAAGGACAGCACGAAAGCATTCTCCACATTTGTGACTCAGATGCACACGCAGGGCATCCTGAAGACAGACGACCTCATCACTCGCTTCTTCCGCATCTGCACCGAAGTGTGTGTGGATGTGTGCTACCGGGCTCTGAATGACTCCACCAACAGTCCCAACCACTCTCTCACCAGGGCCAGATGCTACCACACGCTGGACGCATTCGTCCGCCTCATCGCCCTCCTCGTCAGACACTCTGGCGACGCCGCAAACACACTCACCAAAATAAACCTGCTCAACAAGGCAAGTTCATATTACAATCAACCCCCACACACACACACAAACACACCCACACCAACCCACTGGAAAGATTCAGCACGTGTCGTGTTTTTTTCTAGTGTTGTCTTGTGTTCAGGTGCTGGGTCTGTTGACTGGCGTACTGCTGCAGGACCATGAGTTGAAGAACACTAGCTTCCAGCAGCTGCCCTACCACCGAATTTTTATCATGCTCTTCATGGAGCTTTGTGCGCCGGATGAAGTTCTCGACGGAATTAGCTTCCAGGTAATCATGATTCAGTGTTGATGAACGTAGTTCAGACTCTTATATGGGTCGTGAATTTTCCAACCCAATTTATATGCCATTTTTTTGGATATGCATCACTTACTTATAATTTGTACTCATGCTTTCCAATTTATACATTAATCCTTCCTGCAAATTTTTACAAGTAAATTGTTTGCTAACATTATCCGATTATTATGAAAATTGACATAAATACTAATTAGGCCATGGCAGGCATATTTGAACAACATGCTGAACCTTGTAAAACCACTTGTTACACCATAAACATTACGCTCTTGTGAAGTGGGTGGGAAGGAAAAAAATGAGTAACGAACGTAGTGGTGCTCTATTACGTCTTGATGATTTTTTTTGTTTTTTTTTCAGGATAGTCTTTAAGTTTAGTATGCTTAATTTCGACTTTTCGCGGTTTGAATTCTGATTTTTTTTTTGAGTTCAGTGTGTCACAAGAAACGAGAATTCCTCTGTCGAATAGCAAAAGTGTAAAGCACAGGAAAAACGTGATCGACGTCTTATTTTGATTTTTGAGTTTTCCCAGCGAATGTTATAAAAAAAGCAGTAGGCATTTCTTCTAATTAATTGCAAATTCCTGATTTGAGTAGATAAATCTCATGGTTTTCGGTAAAGACGGCTTCAAGATTTTGAAAATTATGCGTTTCGTTCCTTATCAGTAAGAATTTTCCTAAAGTTTCAACAGTTATCTCCCGTTTCAGCTGTGCCACTAGTGTTGGACTATCTGCAAGAGCACATGGCGCAGCTTGGAGGAAGTAAATTTCGCAATTTCTATAACTGTGTTTCGAATACGGCGCATAAAAGTTTTTGTAGTATTTCAAGAATTCTGTTTACTTTCCATTTTTTCTTTGCCCGTTTTGAGTCGCTTTTGCCGTATTTTTGCTTGTGTACTCGAATTGATTGAAGCTTCTTCTCTGTTTTTTTTTCAATAAAATGAAGGTAAACTCAGCTAAAGAAGGCAAATGTCTAAATAATAAATAATAAAATGTAGTTTGGATTAGGTTCCAAATTGAATCTTTTCTAACTACCTGTTGGCTATTTTTTAACTTTACCAAGTGACATTTTGATTCAAATGAGTTACTCTCATCAAAAAAGTGTCAATTATAATGAACGTATTGAGTATTCTTAAATGGGTCTGGGAGTTTTTTTTTCTGGAAAGTCTTTAAAATTTGTTTACGCTCAAGTTTGATTTTTCGCAATTGGACTTTCGTTTTTTTTTCAAGCTCCCTTCATTTCCCTTGTTAAAATGGAGGTAAACTCCACTACCGAACAGAAAAATGTAAAGGTCACGAAAAACGTGATCGACTTCTAAAGATCATGTAGTGTACATTAAGCAGCTCAAGCTTGTTTTTCAAATGCGTGGACCTTCTTTGCGTAGAATGCGTAGAAATGTTGTTTCGTGATCCAAAACTGAAAAGGGAAAAATGGGCTGCGTAGACTACTGATATTTTGGATTTCAAACTTTTCTGAAAAAAAAAATGGTGAACTCGGAATATTCTTTATATGGTTTGATATATTATCAAGAGCATGTGTTTAGCCTTGAAGTTTTAACAGGTGTTTTTAGAGTTATTGGTTTGTTTTGTAGGTGCTGACTGCGTTCAGCTATGCCCTGCATGTGTTGCGACCCAGTAAGGCGCCTGGCTTTGCCTATGCTTGGCTGGAACTGATCAGCAACAGAATCTTCATCGCCAGGATGTTGCACCTCACTCCCCAGCAGAAGGCGTGGGCCATGTATGCTCAGCTGCTCATAGACCAGTTCCGCTTCCTCGCTCCCTTCCTGCGCAATGCTGAGCTAACTAAGCCAGTGCAGCTGCTCTACAAGGTATTCGTAACCAGATTTCTTTCTTCTGTTAAACTGAAGATCTCAGGACATGCTTTAGTCGGACAAGAAAGTCCAAGTACGTGCTTAGATTGGTTTTGATTAAAAAGAAAGGCCGATATTGTGTTTTTTTTTACTCCAATAGGAGTCAAACGAGTGAAAGTCTCCAATGAGTGTTCCTATGTTTGGCCTTGTTGCACAACAGGGGACACTTCGGGTGCTGCTGGTGCTGCTGCATGACTTCCCAGAGTTCCTCTGTGACCATCACTACGTCTTTGCTGACGTCATCCCACCCAACTGCATCCAGATGCGCAACCTCATCCTGTCCGCATTCCCCAGACACATGCGGCTCCCCGACCCATTCACGCCAGACCTCAAGGCTAGTCAACACTTCACTACTCTGTAAAAGTACAAACTGAACACTCGACACTTGATGTATCATTTTTAGTTATCTGTTAGCACAGTTAAAACAAGTTTGAGCCTTAAAAGGTTGACCTTTGTGTAATCTACCGATGCAAACATAGACCTAGTATAAAGTATCTATATTTTGTATTGATGGTTGATTAACTGACTGCCTTGTGTTGTCGTGTTTTGCAGGTGGATCAACTGTCGGACATCAAATATGCGCCGCGCATCCTGCACAACTTCGCCGCCGGCATCCCCAGTGCACTGCGGAAAGACCTTGACCTCTACCTGAAGAGTCGTTCTCCCGTAGAGTTCCTGAGCAAACTGAGGAATGACCTGCAGGTGTCCTCTGAACCAGGCATGCGGTATGTCAAGAGACAGAAAACTGATGTCATTGATAAATTGCTCTAATTTCGTAAATTGATCGAGAGTCGATGAACGTAGTGAAGACTCTTTATTTGAGTCGTGATGATTTTTTTCAGGAAATGTTTTAAAATGTGCTCACGCTCTATTTTTTTTTGCTGTTCGATTTAGATTTTTTTTAAATTTCAATTGATTATTTTGTTAAACGGAAGGCAAACTCAATTGTTGAATATTAAAAGTGTAAAGATCACGCAAGACATGATGGTCTTCTGGTTTCGAAAGTGTAATATAATTTTCAGATTTCCCAGCGAAATCAAAAAAATTACTTGTATTAGTATGACTCTACTTTTTCCAATCTAACCTCCCAAATAAAAGCTTTCATTTAGTGACACTTTTGCTATAATCAGAATCGGTAGCATTGGAAGTTCCTCTACTTTATTCGTGGCTAGTGTTTGACTCCTAATCTACTGGTCGGAGGTTCAACACCGGACGTAGCAGTAGTTTTTTTTTCATATTTCGTGGCATTTTTGCTGCTTAGCATCGGCAATTTATTATCTATAGCTGAATCATTGGCGGCTTGTGTTAGCAATATTTCAAGGGCACGTTGAGTAGAGGCGAGAACGTGAGACTCTAAGTTGCTCAGAAAAAAGCGTTGAATGCTTTAATAACTTCAGATATGCATTCATACATATTAAAGCATTTTTAATGCTTTAGTATATCTGCTCTTGAGTTCAATTCAAATTCATCTGCTGAAAGTTACGAAAATAGCGCTCTCGAAATACCTACGTGGAAATGGTGAGAAAAAAGTCTTGAACGATTTCTAGTTTCGAGAGTAGGATTCAGTTTCGAGATTTTCCAGAGGAATAAAAAAAGTTACCTAGCGGAATAAGCGAACTTGTATCTAGCTAGAGATAAAATGAATGATTTGGTCGGGCAAAGAGTTAAAAATAATTTAAAGTTTGAGTTCATTTGTGTTGTGTATTGATGTGTGATGTTGCAATGTGCTGTGTTGTGCAGGTACAATGTGCAGCTGATGAATGCAGTGGTGTTGTACGTGGGCGTGTCTGCCATCACTGTGATCCAGTCTGCGGGCAAGATGCCACAGATCAACGCCATCCAGTACTCCCCACACATGGATGTGTACCAACACCTGGCAGTATCTCTGGACACCGAAGGTACTCTCTCACCTCTATTTCTTTCTTGGGTATGAGTGACTGAGAGTATGAGAGTAACTCAGTTGTGTGTGTGTGTGTTTTAAGGTCGCTACCTGTTTCTCAATGCGATTGCCAACCATCTGCGCTACCCGAACAACCACACCCACTACTTCAGCTGTGTGCTGCTCTACCTTTTCGCAGAGGCCCACTCGGAACACATTCAGGAGCAGATCACGCGTGTTCTGCTGGAGAGAGTGATCGTGAACAGACCACACCCCTGGGGTCTCCTCATCACATTCATAGAACTCATCAACAACCCCAACTTCAAGTTCTGGCAGCACGAGTTCGTTCGCTGCGCCCCCGAAATTGAAAAGTGAGTCAGCACTGGATTGAAATAAGATGAATAAATCAAGTGCTCAGGAAGTTGAAGAGTCTTAAATGATTAATTGTAAACTAACGAAGTGATTTTATTTTCACTTATAGGTCGTGATGATTGTTTTTTTTTCACAAAGTCTCCAAATGCTCTTATAACTACAGAAGGCAGTATTAAAACATTTATTTACCATTGCGATTAAGGGTGTTGCAACCGGGTACTGGACATTTGTCCCGTTAACAACTTTTTCCCAACTTGCTTCATGATAAATTCAAATTCAATCAACCATACAACACATCTGGCGTAGAGGTAACTGTTACTTGAGACGATGAATCCGAGTTCTGGTTTGAATCCGGCCAGGACCTGTTTTTTGTGGAACTACGTTTACTGTTTTTTAGGAGTCAATAAAAGCAGTTCTTACTCTTATATATGTCGCGATGAATTTTTTTTTTTCAGGCTCAAATTTACTTTTCCGCGGTTTGACTTCTGATTTCTTTGTAAATTCAGTTCATTTTTTTGTTATAAGGAAGGCAAATTCCGCTATCAAAAAGCATAAGTGTCAAGGTCACGAAAAACGTGATCGACTTCCAGTTTCGAAAGTGGAATTTGATTGCCAGATTTCCCAGTGATATAAGATGGTTACCTATTGATCCAGTTTGCTCAAATTGATTTATTTTTATGAAAAATTGTTAATTGTTCTAAGAAATTCGAAGAGGTTTAGGGACGTCTATTTTTTTCTCCGATATTCGAAGCTAGGGATTTTTTCAAAAAAAAATCAGTTTTTTTTGAGTTCATCACTCTTTTCCAACGTTATCACTCCGGATTATATATTTTTTCCTGTAATTAACTTGTCCAACTGAATCATATTCTCGAAGTAGCACTTTCGTCAACCAATAAATATATTTTTACAAGCAAGCCTATTTACCTAAGTCGCGAATATTGTTGCGACTAAATGTGATCATTTCGTAAGTACAGCCAATGCTAAAGATAATAACACAGACTATTATATTACTTATAGCACTTCAGCTTCAAGGCATGATGGATCTGTAGCGTAGAGGTAGATAAGGAGACCAGCAGCAAAACAAGAGGTTTCGAACCTGGTCAGGGTCGGATGTTTCATTGAACTTTTTCGTATTCTAGTTAAAATGCGTCTGATCTATAAATTGAGGCATGTTACTTGGTAAATTTCTTTTTTTTTTAAATTTACTGGTACTGCTAATGCGTCATAATTTGCTTGCGTCACTTAGCAATTATGTTGACTCATAATTAGCATGCGTCTCTCAAGAAATTTTGTAGTCTCAAAGTCTTACTCATTCAGTTTTCCCCAGTAGAGTTACTGGTCATATTTTTGCTTGTGTATGCGAAGTACAACTTCGCCTCTGTGTTTAACCATGTCTGCTTATCAGATACTCGTCAAATTTACACTATAGAACTTGCGAGAATAGTGTAACAGTACGAAAATTGTTCTTTCCACCCAACTCGCAAATTAAAACGCTCGTTTGGTGGCAATTTTGCTATAGTCACGATCTGTACCGTTGGATATTTGATAGCATCTGTTTTTTGTGGCTAGTGTATGCGATTTGTTAATCTTCCCGTGTCTGAGTGGCTAGTGCTTGCAACTCATAATCTCTAGGTCGCAGGATCGAATGCGAGACGTAGCGGAGCTCTTGCTTTTTTTTGTTAATTGGTTTTAAAAGTTTTCAACGAAAGTCGATGAACGTAGTTCAAACTCTTAATATAGGTCGTGATGATTTTTTTTCAGGAAAAAGCCGCGAAGCTTGTTCATGCTGAAATCAGCTTTTTCGGATTTGACTTTTGATTTAATCTCAAGTTCAGCTCATTTCCTCTGTTAAAATGAAGGCAAACTCGGCTATCGTACAGCAAAAGTAAAAAGATCACGAAAAACCTGATCGACTTCTAGTTTCTTTTCGAAAGTGGAAATTGATTTTCAGATTTCCCAGCGGAGTAAAAAGTTTATCCATAAATCCAGTGTTATCAAGTTGAGTTATTTTTAAAAAAAGTGTGAATAATTAATTATTCTAGAAATTCAAAGAGCTTTAAGGACAGTCAATGTTTTCTTTGAATTTCAAAAGTTAATGTTTTTTGGAAAACAAGTCAGTATTTTTTTCTTTTTACTTGCGTTCAATGACTTTTTTCCGACTGTCTGTTGACTATCGTTTAAATGCGTAGTTTTCGTTTGCTTTCAGACTGTTTGACTCGGTGGCCAAGAGTTGCATGCAGAGGAAGGAGGGGGGTGGTGGGGGACCAGCAGTCGTCCCGTCTCAGGGGGGATCTGGGATTCCCTCCGGCGGTGCCCTTAGTCTCCCGCCCTCTGCAGCTTCCGCATCTGCTGTGAACGTCAGTAGTACAGCGAGTGCCAGTGGTGTGGGTCCGGCCGGCAACACTGGTGGAGGATCGGGGACAAATGCAGCTGGGGGAGCAGTGCAGTCTACTAATGTGACTCTGGCCTGTCCCCCCGCCGCCGCCTCCTCCACACAACAGGTGCGCAATGACCAAGTGGTGTCGCCCTCATCAGCCAACATCATACAGGCTGTTACAGTGAACAACAGTGAAGGCCACACAAACAGTGGCTAGGAAATCACGAAAGTGGCTGAACATAAAATATAGACTGAACTGAAATTGAACTCTTCAAAAATGAAGCTGAAACTCATGAAACTTCTTTCGATTGAAAAGGATGCGGCCATGTTGCAGTGTAGTGTTTTAAGTCTCCGTGTTTTTACTGTTGATGAGTGTTGGAGTAATTCCTTTTAAATTCGTTTCGAGAGGAAAATTGTTAATTCCTATCTACACTCTAGTTTCTCAATATATTTTGCGCTATCTCTAGACAATCCTTGTCTGGACAATTTTGCCTTTGCGTGTGGGTAAAAGTTTTAATCTAACATTCAATTATGTGATGTTGTCAATATCTCATGCGCAATGACGCTTCATTTCAGTGAGAACAAACTTAATTTGACCTCTTAACGAACTTACGTCAATTTGTAAGTTCAATATTTCGCACGTGTTCATGAACTACATAAAGTTTTTACAGGGGGGCCATGGTATCAGTGCGGTCAGTGCCATATCAGTGCCAGCAAATTATTATCAGTGCCAAAAATTCTTAGTCGCATTTGTTCACAAAATTATCAAAAGCTTCGAACGATATAAATTTTGAATCTAAGTTATGCTGATATGATTTGTAAAACATTCTTCTGAGAAATTTATTTCTGAAACGTTCTCACAAAATAATTTTCGACATGTTAACTGGTTTTATTTGTGCTAAAAGTTGTGTCAAAAGGAGGGAAAAAGCGAAAAATATTTGTGCCAGGCGTTTATTTTTATCAGTGCCAGCGATTTTTGGATACCGTGGCCACCCTGATTTATGAATAATCTTGTCCCTGTTAATTTCTTTGCTCTCATAATTTAAGTGTTTTCAAACAACCTACTTGTGCTTATTTTTGTGGGCAAGTATATGGAAAATGGCAGTTGGAAATGCAGATGATGTTGCTAATTTAATTTGATCAAACTCCTTATTTTTGAAGAAATACTGTTGATTTGTTATAATAACTGAGTCTGTACGCTTTAGTTATGCTGTTCATTTTTTCTTTAACTGCGATTGATGCAAGAGAACACGTTCTTTTTACTGCTTTTTTGTCAAGCTATTTGAGCTGGATTCTGAATATAACGAGTAGTCTACTGCAAAACTGTTCTTAACGACCAACAAACATTTAACCAAAATTCATACGAGTAGCTGTTTCAAAGTTATTTACGCACTGTATTTTTTGAAGCTTTTGCATAGATTAAAAATTCAGCGTTAATCTTTACTCAAACATGGGCGAGCGCAGTTCGGCAGAGTGTTCGAAGACTCTGCGGAAGAACATCGACAACTTCTCTCTTGAGGATTCGCTGAAGAGAGTGGAGAGGGATAGCCAGTCGACTGCTCAGCTGCAGAACACTTCCAACACTCTCTCTCAGGAGGAGCAGGAGCTGTACCAGCAGACAGTGCAGGACAGGTTCAAGAGCTACCCCATGTACGAGAAGGGACAGCACAGACCCCCCGGCAGTCCCCCCGAGAGACTGAATCTGCACCCGAACTACCCGCGCACAGAGAGAAACTGGCGCGACACACATGACAGACGCTCTTTGGAGACAGAGGCCAACAGACCCTTCTACCCCACCTTTGGAACATCGGGTGGGGGCGCTCCTCTGAGGGACGAGGAGGGAAACAAGATCACGAATCTCAAGTCGGACCCAGAGACCAGATTCCAGCCACACAAGGATGGAAACTTCATTAACGAGAAGGCATTCAGGTACATAGCAGACATTTCACACACGAACGAATACATCAGAGAACTGGACGAGGCGGTAAAGGAGAAGCAGCGTCAAAAACAGTTGGAAAAGGAGCGTGAGGAGGTGATGAATGCAATGCACAAGAGGGTGGACTACTTCGGACATACTGGGTCTGGAGCTCCGCCCTCCATGCGAGGACTGGACACGTACACTGGAGTGGACCTGCACCAGGGATACCGGAAGACAGACCCAGTGTACACGGACAGATCAGTGGTGAGACACTATGACTTGCAGTCCTACACGAGGCCAGGGGACAAGTGGCGCATTCCGGAGGGCACAGAGAAGCACCGCCAGTATGGCACCGAAGATCCACGACTGGGCTTGCTGCCAATCGGGGCAGAAGTGAAGGACGAAATGAGAGACAGGAAAGAAGAAAACCAGTTTCTACAGGACACTAAACGAACTCCGAGACAGCGCCAGACCAGTGAATTGTTCAGTCCATGGGGAAGGCCAGGAGCAGGAGCGCCTTTGTACCAGGGAACAGGGGAAGTGAATGCCAAAGTAGCCGGCAAATTCAAGACTGATTTCTACAATCTGGACTGGGAGGAGAACAGAGACAGTCGACTTGAGGCGAACAAGAGAAACTACTTGCAAGATTTAAAAGCTAATATGGTAGCTCACGAGAGACAGAAGCAGCAGATACAGCAGCAACAGAAACGAGAGTCAGCTCTGGACTTGGCCGAAAAAATAAGACAACTGGACGCATTCGGCTACCCGAAGAGAAGCGCCAGCGGAGAAGTGATTGCGGATCCTAGGAATCTGTCGGACATTTCACGACACAAGCTGGATGTGAGACACCCGAACCCACTGGAGGCCAAAAGATACCATGACTATTTGACCAGTCAGGTGGAGGAGAGAGACTCGATCGATTACCGGCAGAGAGAGCGAGACATGCAGGAGAAGAGACAGCACTCGATCACCATGAGCTCCTACTTCTGGAAGCCAGAGGGCCATGGGGCACCCTACCCAGACAGACCATTTGGACACAGACGGGCAAAACTGGGCAGTCAGTTGCTACAGGGCTTTCAGCAGGAGAAGTCGCCTCTCATTTCTCAGTTACCCTGCGCCACTTCGATATCTCAGCCACAATTACATGCACGGAACGAGCCGGCCTTATCTCTCTTGTCGATGGCAACTCAGACAGAGAAACAATATGAACTGAAAGCTCCATTTGCAACATCAGTTTTTAGCTAATTTCGCCGAGGATTTCAAGATCTTCCGAGGTTGTTTTTTATGCCAGTTAACAGCAAATATATGGACAATCATCACTTAATTTGAAGTGTTATGCTATGCATTATGTGCAAAACAAGGTGCAAAGCGTAGTTTTTTGCCAGCCTATTTAGCAAGAGACCATGCTTATGATCATTAAACAATTCAATCAAATCGAAAGATAGATGATGAATTTTGTGACGAGCTACCCAGTTTAAAGGTTCGAACAATCCAAAAATTTTACACGCAGCAGCAAAATTTTATCATAAAGAAGCCCTGATCTGCTGATTTTGGGTTTATGAGAAATTTCAGCAAAATGTACATCCTCAAAATTGTTGTTGTGTTACTTGAAATGATTTTGAAGTTTTTCGAGAGATTCTTCTTTGTTGAAAAAAATCTACTGTTAATTCGCTTTTCCGAGGTTAAATTTGAAGCGGGTATTTCCTTTTTTTGCAAAAAAGTAAAAAGTTACCGCTTTCATTCTTGTTAATCATTAAGAACACTTCATTAAAACTCTAAAAAGCAAAGATGATAAGAGCTTGGGTTATGCAGATAGCCCTTGCAGTTTTTACAATATCCGAGGAAGATGGAAATGTGGATTCACCAATTGTAAAAGGGGAAAGTAAGCTTGCAATTTCATATTTTTCGTCCTTTAAAACTCTTAATTTGATTGAAAGGAACGGATCAATAAACTCAAACACCATTATGATTGTTTGTTAATTTGACATGTTTATATATTGTTTGGTCAGTTGACCTTGATACGGCGGCATGTCGAGTTAAGTCCTTGAGCAAGATTCAGACACTAATTTATATTTGTAAACAACAGTTGGTTTCTCAATCGCGCATCGAGATTATGTTTATCAATCGGATTCAGTATAGTCACGCTCATACACCGAGGTATCACATGGCGCAGCAAGCAGGGTATTCGAAAAACCCATTAAACATCAACCCGTTCTGGGAGAAAGCCTCAGCCGAGCCACCACTGGAATGGTCAAAGTGGGCAGCGATTTTTGAGATAGCGGTATTTGCTAAAGACGGGATTGAGGTAAGAAACCTTCAAGGAAATAAACCCGCGCTCGTTGAACCCACAGAACCAATTTACGAGATTGAAATAACTGGAGAGACAGAAGCTCAAAAGAAAAACCGGGAGGTGCGCAACCAAAAAAAGAGAACCGGTTGGGAGAACCACGGGATGAAAGCCAGAGAGAAGGTAGTTCTTTTTAACTCGTTCCGATGGGATGAAGCAGACGCGAAACTAAGAAGTTACATCTTTCTTTGTCTGGGAGCCGAGGGACAAAGTCAAATACAGCAAAAACGACCAGGCCTAGTCCTACACACAGTAAAAACAAGCGAGATAATCCCCACTCTTAAGGACATATTCGTAACAACCAGGATTGTCGCGTTTGAACGATACAATTTTATTTGCAGAAAAAAGGAAAAGATTGAAAGCCTCGAACAATTCCAGGCTGATCTAGTCGAGTTGGCGTCAAGAGCCGATTTCGGGGACAGAGATGATGAGTGGGTGCGAGATATGTTTACGGCTCATATGCTAAATGAAAAGATAGCCAAAGAAATACTTGCACAAACAAGAAGCCCACAAGATGCGTACGAGTATGCCATACGTAGAGAAAAGGGAACCGAACATAGCAGCACTATGAAAATAAATCCGTTCGGAAAGCAAGTATCAACACCAAGACAGGAACCAGTGCACTATATCAACCAACGAGGACGAGGTAATTTCGCAAACAATCAGACAATTCAAAGAGGCCGTGGAAACTTACGGGGACGCGGATATCCTCGAGGTACACAAAATGGAGGAGGCCAATCTCGTCAACAAAGAAGTCAATTTTTTCACGCATTAAAGCAATGTTACAAATATGGTAACCAATTTGGACAAAACTACCTAGAATCACGTCCCGCAAAAGAAAAAACTTGTTCTAAATGCGCCAAACGGGGCCATTTTGCTAAATTTGTCAATCAAGAAATGTTAACTATCTAGGAGATGGCGACGACGACGACGTTGAACAAAAAGAAAACGAATCAAAAAGTCAGGAAACAGAACTCGACCCAGTCGCGTTTGCTGAGTTAACGTCAAAATTGGTTGGGATGAGTACAAAGTAGATAGTTATTCAGTGATGGCAATATCAGAAGCATTCTAAATAAAAATGCAACAAATTTTTCCGATGATGATTTAAACGGACACATCATAAAACTAAAGACAAAAACAGTAAAATTTATTTGCAATCGAAGACTTCCGGAGCCCAATGTCGTTTCTAAACAAAAAACCGCTCGGCGGTTACAAGAAAAGGACAAATCCGCAATAATGAAACAAATTCCGCCGGAGGAAACTGCTCGGAAATTAGCCAGCTATAATGTTGAATCAATTGTTCCAAAGGGAACGCCGATTGTAAGAATTCAATCAGGAGGATGGAAAATCAGAGCCGCTCCATTCATCATTGTTGATAATCAAAAGGCAAACATCATAGGCAGCAACATCCTTCCACAGATTGGAATAAAACTGGTACAATAAAACCGAGACAAAGAGACGTGCTGAATATGCGAGAACCCAGTCGAACCCGGAAATCAAATAATGGGTAAAAGATAACTTTCCGTTATTATGCACTCGAATTGGAAAGTCAAAAAACCACGTAATGCGAACACAATTCAATAAAGAATGCACTCCGATACAGCAAAAGGGATGTCGTGTCCCAGTTCATCTACAAGAACGAGTAGAAAAAGAACTAAACAAACTCATGGATCAAAAACAAATAGTAAAGCTGATAAAATTTTCAGATATACAATTCATTAGTCCAATCGTAATTACGGTAAAAAAGGACCAGACGATGAAGTTGGCATTAGACTCGAAAAAGATAAAAAATTTTGTTCACAAGAACAAATATCAAATGCTTAACATCGAACTACTACTGGACAACATAACACAGGTGTAAAATCAAACAACAGTCAACAAACATTATTTTAAACATTAGATTTGCGCTAAGCGTACTCACAAATCCCGTTGGACAAATCAAATCGGGAGCAATGCAAGTTCAGTTTGATCGGTGACAATGCCTCAAGAACCTATCA